TTAGGCTCATTCTCCTCCACTGGGTATTTAGCTAAATTCACCCATATTTTATTGCCTCCTATGCGGATCTTATCAAGTTGATTCTCCATGGCCCGAGGATTCTGTACATCCAGGAACCTAACAAACCCAAATCTCATCCCATTTCTGTTCCTTCTTTGAGGGCTGAAGATGGCATACACTCTACCGAATTTCCGGAAAGTCCTCCACATTTCTGAATAGCTCCAGTCGTCGGGGAAGTTGGCAAAGAAGAAGACCATAGCCTGCTTATACAGTCCCTTGTCATATCCCCACTCTACATTCCTCTGCTGCCGTCTGCTCTGTCCGTCCTGCTTTGTGTCCTTCGTCCCCCACTGTCGCATACTTCCTCTTGGTCGGTCATACTCTCTGTTTAGTGCTTTCCGTCTTACCCATAGTTGCTGTCCGGTACCTGCATCCCTGCCTCTCTCTCTCTCTTTTTCTCTCATGCTCTCTACTAAAACAATTTTTAGTTATAATAATCCTTATTGTTTAATTGAGATTTGAAATCTTTTTTATTATTATTTAATTTTGAGCTACATAATGGATTCAATTTTTTTTCATCTATTTACTTGATTACATTAAATTTCTTAAGTTATCGGTTTTAAAGTTTCATTTTGATTAGCCATATTAGTTCTATTTTAGTAACCTTTTTTTGCTTATAAACGGGTTGAATGTTGTTCGAGTTTTTTCACATGTTTCTGTGTTATTGACAATTGATGTTGCAATAAAACAATAGTTGTTATATGTATCATATTTCCTTTTGAGCATCAACTACAAACCATGATGTAATAGTTACAATTAAAATTATGTTTTTCATTAAGTAATTTTCGCACATTTAAATGTTTTGCCTTTCATATTCGCTTATACTTTTATCTTTTAAGTTGAGCAATAATAGTAATATTAAATAACAATAATAATACTTTCATCTTTAATATTTTAATTTACTTGAATCTATCGCATATTACCTCATACATTAATAGAAAATAATCATCTTTAAATTATTAGTAAATTTTTTTAGTTTTTTCTTTATCATTATTTTTAAAATTAATGTTGTAATAATATAATAATTATCATTTATATGTTACATTATTAGTTATGTGCCTTTTGATCTTCTATTATCAACTACAATATAA